CATATGTTTTGTGTTGATGCGGCGGATGGCAGAACCCATTTAGAGTAGGCAGGTTTGCGGGGTCTGGGGTGTCCCTCTCCCTGCCCTGTAACAAGGACATATGAGCACATTCCTGCATGTCCTATTACCTGGTTACTCCCTTTGCTGTTTTAGGCATTGTTTTGAGACAGGGCAAGCTAGGGTTATTAGGCAGTTTTAGGGACAGTGCAGGAGGTGACCTCTGAAGAATTTAGGGAGGCTTCAGAGATAAGGACAACCAAGGGAATGTAACCAATTCCACTGGGAAAAACAAACCTCCCAGGACCATTGTTAACAATAGGGGAAAAACAAACATCCTAGAACCACGGGACAATATTAAGGATGGTCCTGGTTTTCTTCAGGTGATAAGATAAAGATGCTCACCTGGAGGACTAGACCATAAAGATAAAGCGATAAGCATAACAAATGGGGAAAGACAAACCTGTTAGATAAGGAATGTGAAGATCCCCCAATCAGTAGCAGATTAAGTGAGACAGCCAAGAACTAACCAATCACAAAGAGACTGGTGGAGCTTTAGAATAATTAGGGAAAGAAGGTATATATTCCCTGAGACAGGACTACACTTTGGCTTCCTTGCCCCTCCCAGGCCTGGTTCCCTGGCCTGGGAGTCCCACTTTATTTCTGTTCTTTTTCTCCTCAATAAACTTTTTCTTTCTATAAATGAACCTGCCTCTTCTCGCTTGCTTGCCTGAGCGTCTGCGAAGTTCCTGCTGCGGCTTCATGAGACACCAACCCGTGGGGGTCTAGTGGCTGGGACTCAGCGCTGCCCCTGCAGCCTGAGATCCGTTCCTGGCTGGGAGACTAGGCCTGACAATTCCGGTATCAGTTTTGTACATTTCTTAAGTACTGTGTGTGTGTGTGTGTGTGTGTGTGTGTGTGTGTGTGTGTGTGTGTGTGTTGCAAATATCAAACTAAAATCTAAACTTTATGGTAGGCCAGAAATTTGCCTCCGTGTATATATGATGCCCCTAATCAGAGAGCCCACACAGTACCCAGCACTAGGTAAACATTGTAAGTTCGCTGTGTTCTGCTTTTGTTTATTCTTATTCTTAATGATTCTCTCTTAGTGAGCTAAAGATTACTCCAGCTGTTCAAAATCCCTTCCCTATCCCTGGTAGTATATTGGCTCCTGATTTTCCTTCAATCATATTTCTTGTTGTCTTGGCATCTGACCTATAAGCAGACAAAATGCCAAGTACATCTGAGATCACAATCAGCCAACCCTGGTCATCACAGTTGATACCCAGCATGGAATGCACTCCCTTTGTAGAATTCATGGTCTTAGAAAAAAGGCTCAAATTTTCCCAAGCCAAACTGTTGATTCAAGCCCATTCTCACAACCCAGTGAGTCCTGACTTCTATAGGTGAGCCATCTGGAACACCACCAGGGTGTGTACATTGTGATCAGAATCACTGAAAATCAAGGAATTCCATGATCAAAGGGAATTTAAGGTTATCTTAGTTGAACATCCATCTCTTTATAGTTGTAATTGAAGACTATTAGTAATTCGTGTGATAGATTTATCATTAGGAAGTATTCTTTTCACACATTTGAGAATTCAAAATCTCCCTTTCTGAAACTTCTACCCATTATTTATTAGTTGAAAACTGAGCTTTTTTTGTCAAGTTCTGTGCAATGTGATGAGACTAGAAATATGGGTAAGCATCTGCTTTCAATAGCCTCATGGTGGGGTTAGAAGATAGTTACATGAATATATAATCACTATGCTGTATACACATGAAATGATACATATTTTGGTATGAAAGCCGGGCAGAAGAGCACCTATCTTAGAATCCTGGAGTATGTGATGTGTCATTTCTTTCTCTAGGTTGTTAATTATGCAACTATTTAATCAGCTACTAATCAGCCCAACTACACTATCTAGACCAAACTTCTGCATCTTTTCCATGAACATAACAATCTTGGTAAAGCCATAGTGACCTGTTCTCCATCATTCTTTCTCCATTTCACTCCACTCTCACACTTATGTGAAAGCAATGACATTTAGGAATAGACTGCAACTCCTGTTGTACTCCCATATGCTTTACCAGGAGTTCTAACCTAAGTCTATGGGTGCATAACAATCCACTGATATAATTACTGTTCAAAGAGTGGGTACATTATGAAGGGAAACATATTTAGTGCTTGGGAGTATCATACACTTTCACTTTCTCTTGCAAGAAATGAAAAGAAACATTTTTTTAGCCTATTTCTCCAAGTAGGCAATTTACAATGTGATGAAACCAACAGTGTTTTTAGAACAAAGACACGGAAAGGACCTGGATCCTTGTTCACATTATTGAACTGTTGCATCAACCAATACCGACACATAGTTCCTAGCACGTAAAACAATAAATGTACTTACTCTAGAAGCTAGTTTGACTTGGGTTTTTGATTACTTGCACCTAAAAGTATGTTAAGTGCTTCATCTGCCCAGAACCTTATTAAAATGAAGCGATAACATGACTTAAAGATTTTCCCCCAAACAATCAGTCTAATATTAAGAAGGAAAAGAAAGTTTCTTTGGTATTCCTTGGTTTTGTGAATCAATTATGGTTCATTGTGTCCAAAGGCACATTTAGCAGGAGAAATGTTCTTGATTTGTTTAGAGTATGGGTAACAGTTGGAAGCAATTCAGCTCCACAATTATTGATTACATGTCTCCTTTCGGCCTGCATTATGCTGGGCACCAAGGTATATATGCAAAGTAGTTCTGAATAAGATATGGCTCCTTTCTTCAAGGAGTTTAAAATCCTTTGGAATTCAAATGTAATATAAGGAGCTTGAGTTTGGATGTCATATATTCAGTTTCAAATCTTGCACTGCCTATTATATGTCTGGCACCATACATATGCTGTCTTATTTAATCTTCCCATCAACCGTTAAGGTCATTATTTATGAATGAGGAAATTAAGTTCAAAGAGGTAACAAACTTTCCCAAAGTGACTTGTCAGACATGATGGCGCTGGGAAATGAATATAGGACTGAGTCCAAAACCAGAGGTATAACCACGTTTAGGTGGGATCTGAGTGTGCCATTAATAGGAAAGCACGCCAGACAGCCAATTTATGTCTATTGTAGTTCTTCTGTCTTGGAGATATGGTCTGAAGTCAAAGGTGGTGTTCAGTTGGCCTTTAAGTGGGGGAGCTCTCAAATCAGGCAAAAACTCCATCTGATGGCAATTAGTGCAAAAGGCAAGAGCATTGTATAAGCTTTTTTAGTTATTCCTCCACTGAATGAAGATTTATTATACCTAATATGTGACAAGCATTGTGCTAAACACAATGAAGAATAAAAAGATTCACAGGGTTCATTTTCTGCTCTGAAGAAGCTGTGATCTTTTAAATAACATTAGTTGCTGGGTATCACATGTCTATTAAATGGACATCTTTCATAAATCATCTGTAATCCTAAAGTGGCATTGAGTATAAGTTTTGGTTCCCATTCTATGGATGGGGACTCTGAGATTTGGAAAGGCTATACCCAAGTCATACAAGCAAAATCAAGATTGAAAGCCAGGGGCTTCTCTGGTGGCACAAGGGGTTAAGTCTCAGCACTAGCAAGCTATCTGCAGCCTCTGCAGCACAATTTCGATCCCCGGCCACATGGCATAGCAGACCTCTTCTGTCTCGCCCGCTGTGCCCCTCAGCACTGTATTTCAGTAGATCTGCCTGTTCTGCTCCCCACTCTGTCTTTGGTGAATCCTCTCACCTCTCCACACCTCTGGCCTACACCCCAGCTCTTATATGCATAAATAAATAAACCTTAAATAAAAAAAAGATAGAAAGCCAGTCTGACCCAAAAGCCCATATTCTTTTTACAGTGTCACATATATCTGAAGCCTAAACTTGATTGAGAGAAATTGTGTCCAATAGATGTTTCTTCTTCATTCTCCACTTCTACTGTGTAGCCCCCATTCCTCTCAGGGCTGAGTGCATACCAAAATGCTGTGTTTACTTAGGAACCCAGTGAATCCACATCATATATTTTCAGCCTAACGGAACTTGATCTTTTCCGCACACTTAACAAGTTACTGATCTTGAGAAATCCGAGAGCTGAACATTATGTTTCAAGTTCTGCTGGCCATAATAGGTACTCTTGCCTCTAGTGTAGAACCAGTTATATGATTTAGATTCCACAAATACATTTTAAACACATACTCTACATGCTAGACACTTCCACATATGTTGTTTCATGGCTTCATTTTTCAAATAATAAATTTGAAGCTGTAGTAAATTGGTCAAGGTCACTCACATTGTAAGTGTGGTTCCATGATGCAAAATCCAGTTCTGACAAGTGTAGTTTTAAGTCTATGTCCAAGTTTTCAACATATTTTCAAGGATAGTCAAGTATATTTTCTGCTACACCAGATGTGAGTGCTGTAGGTTTTTGTATGGTGAGAACTACTTTTATTTAAAACATTTACTCTCTTTCTTCCTCTCATTCCACTTCCATGGTTGTTTTTGGAATATTTTACGTCTATGCAACCTCTATGCATACCTCAATGTCTATGCTTTTTTCCTTAGTGTCTCATAATTACTGGTCCTGGCTCCAAGTTGTCCCTCATAACTATTCCCAGCGGCCATGCCTCACCATGCTACAGCCTGTCTCTCAGTTAAATTTTCATGAGAAAAGTCTCCTTTGTGGCATTTACCAAAGGAAAAAAAGATCTCCCAAGCTTCTCTAAATAGCATAAAGTAATGCTTTTCTCATAGTCATAAGAAAGGACTTTTTTTTTCTTTTTCCTTTCTTTTTTTAACTTGTATTACTTGTCCCTTCTAAGACCTAGATAGTTTGCCACATGAAAACTATTCAAATAGGCTTTCTTTAAACTTTCGATATGACTGATTTATTCTCCTCAGCTCCAGGTGATCTTTTGGGAATAATTTATTATTTTTAGAAAGAAGAAAGTATCAAATGAAACGTGAGATTTATTTTAAACATTTTTGTTTATGATAAAACTCAGTAGAAGGATGGCATTTGGGTAAGGTCACAGTAGGTTTTATATCTGTCTCCCTATGAAGTTCTTGGAAACAAATATTTCTGTATTTCTCACATAAACTCACTCAACTGGAAGTCTTCAGTTCTGAATCAGATCTGGATAATCAGGTGAGCCCTGAGTTAACCTGAAAGAGAGAAATGAGAGGGGGTCACCCACTTCTATACTCCGAAGCAGTAGTGTTTTCGAGTTCTAGCCATAGAAATTTGATGTAAACTAAGACTAAGAATAACTTCTATTTGAGGAAGAGACATGTAAATGGAAAAAAGGTCCTATCCTTTTGAAAAAAAATCCAAAATTATGCTTTCAACTAGCAGCCCTGACCAAAGTAAGAAAAAACAATAACTTAGGAGTCTGATAGACACAAATCCAAATACACATCGACAGCCTATTAACTGCATGTGACTTAACATCTTTGGGGTTAATAATAGTTTCTACCTCACAGGATTGCTGTGAGTTTTAAATGAGATAGTGCAAGTAAAAAACTTAGTACAGTGCTTGTTGATCCTGTTTGGTAAATATTCTAGCTGTTATCATTAATTATTTTCTTATTTTTAGATGGAAATATTCAATGCAGTCCCAGGGGGTGACCAGACATTTCTACTTGGATATCTAGGCACCGCCACAGTGTACAGCCCTGCCCAGCAGGGGTGGAGTCAGCCCCTATTATCATAGGTTGAAGTATTATCCCAATTGAAGTATTGATGCAGAGAGATGATCTCATTTGAAGTGTCAGCATACACAATCTCAGCACATATCTTTAGAAACCACGTTCTTTAAATCCATTATTCTGAAGGGCAGAAAGTTTGACAAAAAGGAATTTGGACACTCTTTTATGGCACTGGGGTAGTTTGAGGACAAGAGCTACAAATGTCATTCATCTAATTATCCAGATCTGAATCGTAAGACTTGCAACCCAGGAACTTTTAACATTAGTTCTTTAGTCAATTTTATTACATTCCTGTATTTACCTAGCATTGAACTTGGCAAAAGCATAATTGGAATTGCCCTTTACAATCAAGGAGCTTAGGTAATATTTTGGAATGTAAGAAGCATGGCAAATTTTAAGTTAATCTTATCAGCTTAACTTAGTTATTATCAAGTTTTGAAAATTTATGATCTTCAAACTGTGCAAACTTGCTCTGCATTTTGGAAAGCAGAGTTTTAGCTCAAGGATACAGAATATGAATTTCACGGAGTCAAGGAAGTCAGCCAGCCACTGGGTGGGTCAATCATTTGCACAAGCACAACTCTTCAGGGAGTTGTTGGAGAAGCAGGGAAAGACAACCAGAAGAAAGCCCATTCTCCAGCTCTACCCTTTTCCTCCCTCTAGACTCACCATTTCTTTCACAATTTGCTTTGACATAATTTCTCTGAATGTAAATGACCCCAAAACTTGGTGGCTTAAAGGAATAATCAGGTATTTTCCAGGTTCTGTGGGTTGGCTGTGCTGGATAAAGGCTGGGCTCAGCTGGGTGGATTTGCTTCAAACTATGACTTCTTGGATGACTTTGCTCACTGCAAATCAGAGTGCCCGGTGGGGGCCTCTGGTCCACATGTCTCTCATCATCTGAGGACTGAGAGGAAACCAAGGCTTGCTTCTCTCATGGAAGGAACAAAGGCAAAGGGAAGCCAAAGGAAGCGTGTGAGTCCTCTCAAAAACGAGGCATTGAACTGGACCTTGTGATTCCCACCCACATACCCAAAGCAAATCACATGGCCAAGGTCAAAGTCTAAGAAATAGGGAAATGCATACTACTCACCATGAGGCTGTGGCAAGGATATAGGGAGTGGTGAAGAGTCTGAACTGAGTCAACCATTCAGTCTATCGACTTCAATCACTCCTTACCTAAAAAAAAAAAAAAAAAAGCTTTCAGCTGCAGAATTTGAAGTTTCTGTATTAGCAAATTTCTCTTCCTTCATTTTTTTAACCATCATTCAAATTTCTAAATCCCCCCCATATCTCTCTTAGCCAGAAAATTTTCTCTTTTCTCCATTTCCTGCCTCAAATTGGAATCTCTCTGTTCTCATTGTTTAACAAAACATAATCGCTTTTTATGCCATATTGACTCTAATTTTTTGGAAGCCAAGCCACATTATGCTTTCTTGAAAAAATGGCATTAACATTAGTGATACTGACTTAATTTACTCCCCAGAAATAATTAAGGCTATAGGACATACACAAACACACACACACACACACACTACACAAAGTAAAATGAGAAAAAGATAATCATTGAGTGGGGTTAATCTAAATGTCTTTAAAGGTTTAATTACTAAAAAAAATGTTTAAGTCCAAAAATCCCACTGCAACATTCCATTCACCACTCATATGATTAGAAAGAAATGTGTGAGGACAAGTTAGTATTTTTTTCTTTTTCTTGTTATTCACCACAACCCCTTGTCCAATCATCTCGAGAATGCAGACCATTAGTGCAAAGGCAGGTGACTGGGAGTAGGGATCGTTTACCCCAACTCATCACCACTACTAGAATCCAAGCAACTTTGGTGGGTCAGCAGTAGTATGACTCATGCATGTTCTCTGTGCCTGTCTCTTCATGTGAATGTTTGTGTGTATATTTACACAATCAAAAGTAAAAGGGCCTCCCTGGTGGCGCAGCGGTTGAGCGCTGGGTTGTGAAGCTGCCCGCAGCCTCTGCAGTGCCGGTTCGATTCCCGGCCACCGGGTGAGAGTCCCACATGGCGGGCAGACCTCTCCTGCTGCCCTCTGCTCCCCTCAGCAGTGTATTTGGTGAGTCTGCCTGTTCCGCTCTCTGCTCTGGCTCTGGTGAATTCTCTCACCCTCCCGCGCTTCTGACTGTACCCAGTGCTTGTATAAATAAATAAAAAATAAATCTTTAAATAAAAAAAATCTTTATTTATTTATTTAAAATAAATCTTTAAAGATTTATTTATTTATTTATACAAGCACTGGGTACAGTCAGAAGCACGGGAGGGTGAGAGAATTCACCAGAGCCAGAGCGGGGAGCAGAGCAGGCAGAAGGACCGAAGTACACTGCTGAGGGGAGCAGCGGGAGGCAGGAGAGGTCTGCGCGCCATGTGGGACCCTCCTCCAGTGGCCGGGGAGCAGCCGGGGATTGAAATGGCGCCACTGAGGCTGCGGGCATCTTCGCAACCCAGCGCTCAACCGCTGCACCACTGGGGAGGCCCAATAATAAATAAATCTTTTTTAAAAAAAAAGTGAAAGTGTGCTGTGCTTATTCATCAATTAATTCCTATCAGTGATCAATAAATTGTACTGTGCCTGATTGCTGCTATCATCATTGGGAGCCATTAGTTCATCAAGAAGTATTTGTGATACGTTGTTCTGTTGCTTTATTCTTCTGATTCTAAAACCAAGTTTTAAGCAATAGAAGAGAAGTCACATCTGGGGTAAGTATCCCCATTCTGTATTTCTACGTGACCCAAGTACCCTTCAGCAGAGCATTTACCATCCTGCATTGTTAGTTCACTTGTCTTTATCCATCGTTGGATCATGAAATCAAGTAAGATGTTGCTTTGTTCATTGTTTTTTCTCTTGATTCTGTGCCTGCCATGTGTTCAATACTCAACAAATAAATAGTTATTGAGTGAAATAAACATCATTCCAACATAATACATAGTACAAGTGAAGCATTTTTTGCCTTTTTAAAGATATATGACTATGTCATTATAACCTCCATTAAAATTATCTAGTGAGAAAAGTTACATAAGCAAACCACAGATTCTAAATGTATCACCCCAAGTAAGCTGCTGGTTTTGCACATTATCTAACCTGGGGCGTTTGTGTATAGATCTCAACAGGAACTTGCACAGTGGATAGTTGACAATACTGGCTGTAGAGCATGCAAACAGTCTTCTTATTGGAGGGAAGGCCTGTGCCCTCGACCTGTACACAGGCTCACCCATTAATAACAGGCAACCCTGGACTTAGCACTGAAGTGTTTTCACTCAAAAGTCTCCTCAAGGATGTGAAATGTAACTAAGATTCAAGTGCAAAATAAAATATAAGTCTTACCAGGGGAAAAAATATGTTTTTCTGCATTAAAAAAAAAAAATGAGATTTTTTTTCCCCCTGAACGATAGGACCATAATGATTCAATTTCTCCTGCACCAATCAGCATCAGCCTGTGAGATCCAGACCTGGCACATGGAAATTTCAGCCTTAAGTCAAATATTATTTCAAAGTTAATGACAAAATCTATTTTTGCAGTGGTCTTGTTTAAAATATTTCCCCTTAATACTCTTGAAATGCTGTAATTGAAAGCAGTTATTTGAGATGCCAGTGCATACTTCTTTAATTATGTCCTGTACCATCTGTTTCCAATGAAAGGGCAGTATCTGTTTGCAGTTACCAATCTTATGAAAAACAGGCTTGTCCCGAAATAGATTGGAACTAAAACCAGAAAGCATTTCTTTCAGAGGCATCCTTTCAAGCCAATTAACTTTAATCATTATAGAAATGTTTATTTCCCATCTTAGTCTCTCTCTTCACATGTAAATTCCTTCAGGGGAAAAGATTTCTTTTTGTGACTGTTTGAATAGTTCCAATTTGGATTAATCAGAACCTGCTGGCCTGTTTATGTTCCAATTGTGAATGCTGGCAGCTTTCTTGATGAAGGGGGCACACAGTCCCCAAGGAGCACAGATCGAGAAACACAGCAGACACACACCTACTGGTCAGAGCAAGTCCGCTTAACCTTCAGGCCCCATGCTCGCCCTCATGCTACATTCTAGGGTGCTGAGGATGAGGCAGTTGACGGGTGCAATACTAGGAAGGCTGCATCAGTATACAACCAACCTCTTCAATGGAGCCAGAAATCCTATCAGACCCATACATTTGTGTGTCACTCTCATAAAAGCTGTAAGAAAACCTAGTGACCTCGCAAATGAAGCATCTCCGGTGGTGGTGATGTGTAAGTGGAACTCTCACTACTGAAGGGGAAGTTATTGCTGAATTCTTTATTCTTTAGGGAAATTTTCTGCAGACATGTCATAAAGTGGTTTAGGTCAACTTTTTGACTATTATTAATTTCATTCCTCCAAAATGTAAGTTCCTCATTGGCTTATTTATACACTGATGTATCTCAGATACCTAAAACAGTTTCTGGTATAAATAGACTCTCCATAAATGCTTATTGAATTTATTCACTCTTCTAGTCCATGTTGCTATAAAGACATACTCTTAAAGAAGTATCTACTCTTAGGAAAATGAAAACAAAGTAAAGATAAGACATGTCTATCATAAACATCTTGGGAATAGAGCAAGATCACCTCTTGCCTGCAATAAGGTAAGTATTTAATAAATATTTGATTCATTTTGTTCAGCAAGCATATGTGTCTTGGCCACCAGCTAAGAAAGCTACCATTTACTGATCCTTTAATAAGTTCCATTCACTCTGCTGAATGTTTCATACACATCATCTCTAATCTTAAAAGCAAACAAACAAAAATCTTACAAAGTAGATATTAAATATCTCCAATATTCAGGTGAGCAGATGAAGCTTATGTATGGGGAATAAATTACCAGATTGTCATTTAATGACAGAACAAGATTTAGGAATTCTGGTTTTAAGTTGAAAATCAATGTTCCTATATGCTCTCTATTGCCTTTTAAGTGCTGTTCAAAGTGTATTAAAGGCATGTCTTTAACAGGCCAGAATTCAGGGATTTCATGATCATGTATTTGAAAATCTGAAGTCACATTATCATCATTTGGGAAACAAGTTCCCATTCTCATTTCTTCCTTGAATTTTCTGGAGTTTTACATTAACTGGGGCTCCTAGGAAAATAACTCTATCCTTCAACTTTTGCTTCCTGCAGGTAGGGTATCCGTAGCTTTTGGATCTCATAAGCTCCATCCAAGAATCAGATATTCTCTTGTTTCCCAAGAACCAAAGGGCCAGTCATATATCTTTTCCCCTTTGAAGTTGAAATGTTATCCTGTCAGATTCGAAGGACTTGGCAGGCTTGAATTAAAGAAAACCACCCATCTATCCCACGCTCTCTGTCTCTGATGTTTTAAATGGAAGTGTAACAAAATCCCTCCTTAAACCTTCATGATTTAGTCCCACCCCAACTTTCCAGAAATCTGTCAGGAATTCCTGTGGGAATGTCAAGTGAGAGGCTGTACAGGGCAATGCAACAATGTGAACATAGAGGGAAATGATGGAAAGTTGGGAAAGAGAACTGAGACACACTGATTATGCAGTAGCTGAGCATCTTAACACAATCACACTAATGAGTGGTTTCTGAAATTATGTGGTCAAGGAGGCAGCTAGCCTCCATGTCCTGGAGCCTGGCATTCAGGGGCTATGACTCACAGGCTGGGTCTGACTAATGAGTTATGAAGAAACTACACATACATGCTAATTCTGCTAGAGTAGCTATGACTTATTTAACTGTTCATTTATCACTACATAATATCAATCACCACTTCTCAATCTTCATTTATAGTGTACTAAGCTACCTTTATAGCAAATGAACTACAGCTCTCCCAAGAGAAGACTGCATTTAAGTTCATTAAACACAGAAATATTTAAATATGAGATAAAGATAAGAGATCCATCAAAAAACAAACAAACAAATAAAAATCAGGGGGGAGCAAAAGTCTGTGTTAAAATGAAAAACACTAATAACAACAAAATTATTAATTCCATTTATTTAGTTTCTACTATATGCCAGTCATAGTGCTAATTAGCACAGTGCTAATGATGTCCTTAAAAGGAGCCTTTGAGATGAATGTTCTTATTCTCATTTTACAGAAAGGAAAATTGAGGTTCAAAGAGATTGACATTTTTAGATTCTAATTAGAAAGTTATACAAGTAGAATTCAAACCCAGCTCTTTC